TTCAGATCTTTTACTTCATTTGTTCTTCCATTCATTTTTAGCTACATTCCTTTCAAGATCAATTTTCAGAGACTCTTCTGACATCCATTTTGGTCTTCTCTTCCTTTCCTGTCTTTTTAATGACCTTTTGCTTTCTTCATGTATAATGTTCTTGATGTCATCCCACAACATGTCTGGTCTTTGGTTACTGGTGTTCAATGCATCAGATCTATTCTTCAGATTCAGGTGGGATATACTCAAGGTCATATTTCAGCTTGCATGGATTTGTTTTATTTTTTTCAGCTTCTATTTAAATTTGCATATGAACAATTGATGATCTGATCCACAGGCAGCCCCTGGCCTTGTCCTAACTGATGACATTGAGCTTCTCTCTCCATTGCCTTTTCCCACAGTTGTTGATTTGATTCCTGTGTATTCCATCTGGTGAGGTCCACATGTATAGTAGCTGCTTATGTTGTTTAAAGAAGGTATTTGCAATGAATAAGTCACTGGTCATGCAAAATTCTATCATGCACTTTCCAATCTCCAGAATCATTTCTATCACCAAGGCCGTATTTTCCAACTATCAATACTTCTTTGTTTCCAACATTTGCATCCAAATCACTAGTAATTATCAATACATCTTGGTTTCATGTTTGGTCAATTTCAGACTGCAGAAGTTGGTAAAAATCCTTGATTTCTTCATCTTTGGCTTTAATGGTTGGTGCATAAATTTGAGTAATAGTCATATTAACTGGTCTTCCTTGTAGGCATATGGATATTATCCTATCACTGACAGCATTGTACTTCAGGATAGATCTTGAAATATTCTCTTTGACAATAAATGCCATGCCATTCCTCTTTGTCATTGTCAGCATAACAGACTATGTGATTATCTGATTCAATATTTCATATTTCTCTACCAGCTTATTGACTTCACTTAGGGTCCTGCCCAGATTACAGGGCACAGGCCTCCCCACTTCTCAGTCCAGCCCTCATATTTTACACAAAATCTCCTCATCCAGTTTACTGTAGGTGCTGATACCAGATTCTCCATCCTAAAGCCGTCACACTATCCCACCCCTGTTCAAGAACTTTCAGCAGCTCCTACATCCTCCCCAGCCTTCCATTTCAGTGCTCTGGAGCCTGACTCAATGTACCCATCTAATCTTATTTCCCACGGATCACCCACAACACAGTTCTTTTGCTTCTTCAGTGAGGACCGTCACCATCTCACACATATCATATTCCTTTCAGTCTCTACATATTTGACTCTGCTGTTCTCCCTGCCAGGAATGCTCTTTCTCTTCCACTGCCTCCTATCTCAGCCTAAAAATCCTAACTCTCCTTCAAGGCCTAGCTCAAATCACCTTTCATGAGGGCTACTCTGACTGTCCCAGCCCATACTTCTGACCTACTCTCTGATGGCCCTAAAAGTCTGAACAACATATGATCATTCAAAACAATGGCAACCAGGCAGTCTGGCTTACAAGGCCTGACCAGCTTTTCTTCATGAAACGCTTGCTGTCTTCCTGCCTATTTAGCATCCCTCACACTAGTCCATATTCCTCAAAGTACAAACACTGTCAGGCAACCCCCAGAGAGAGGCAGAAATTATGTCTCCCACCTTTGTGTGTATCAACCAATCAGGACCTACCTCTTCTGTGATGATTGACACCATGATGTTCACTCTCCTGGGGCTGTGACTTATCTTATAATGATGAGGGATTTATAAATACTAACTGAGCCACTGGGTTACCAGCAGAAGAAGAGAACTGTGTCTGTCAGGAAAATCTCCTAATAAGAACTCAGAAAAATGAGGAAACTCATTTTGGTTTAATAATGATAAAAGTAACTATGGAATGAGTACTTCGTGTTAAGCAATATTTTCACATGTATTATTTCATTGAATTACAAACAGCCCTGAGAAATAGAACCCATTATTATTCCCATTTTACAGAGGAGAAAACAGAAATTTAAAACGGTTAAATAAATGTAGAATTACCATGTTGTTTATGTTGATAGGTTCTGTGCAGTCAGTCTTTACTCAGAGCGACCCTATGTACAATAGAAAGAAACATTGCGGGGTCTTGCACCAGCCTCACAATTGTTTATTTGATTTTCTTCTTCTTTTTATTGTGATTTGGGTGAAACTTTGCATAGCAAATTGGTTTTCCATTCAACAACTTGTACACACTCTGTTTCGTGACATTGATTGCAATCCCCATGATGTAACAGCTCTCTTCCCACTTCCTCCCTGTGTTTATCATTTCCATTTGTCCTTCTTCCTATAGGAGCTCTGGTGGCATAATGCCTAAGGTATTTGACTGCTAACCAGAAGGCTGGCATAGAGATACCACCTCAAAAACCCAAGGAGTGGTCACTATGAGTCAAATTGACTTGACAGCAGTGAATTTGTTTGAGTTTTTCTCTTCTATCCCTTCCTGCCTTCTGAACTTTATCTGTAGCCAAATGCTGCCCTTTTGATCTCATATTGTTGGTTGTTCTAAGAAGTGCATGCCTCCCTGGTGTTATTGTCCATCTTATAGACCTATTTTTTTGGCTGAAAGTTGAGCCATGGTGGTGAGTTCCATTCCAGGTCTGAAGGGTGTGTAAGGGCTGTAGTCTCAGGGGTTTCACCAGTCTCCATCAGATCAGTCAGCCTGGTCTATGTTATAACATTGAGTTTTGTTCCACATTTTTCTTTCAGTCTATCCAAGATCTCCTATTGTGATCCCTTTCAGAGTGGTCAGCATTGGTAACCAACATCTAGATCTTCTGGTCTCAGGGTCATGGAGGCTGGGGTTCACATGGGCCATTAGTCCTTTGGACTGTTACCTTGTGTGTTTGATTTTCTTCACTCTTCTTTGCTCCAGACAAGGAGAGGCCAGTAGTTGTACCTTAGATGACTGCTCATAAGCTTTTAAGACCCCACTTGCTACTCACCAAAGTTGGATGTAGAACATTGTCTTTGTAGATTACATTATGCCAATTGACCTTGATGTCCCCCAAACTATGGTCCTGAGCCTCCAGGCCCAGTGACTCTAATCCTCACAATTGTTGCTACATTTAAGTCCATTGTAGCAGGCACTGTGTCAGTCCATCTTGTCGAGAATGTTGCTCTTTTTCAGCTGACCTTCTACTTTGGAGATTTAAACTCTACTTTTGGGAGAATTACTAGATGACCCAGCAAGGTATATACTCAAATAAATTGAAAACAGGAACTCAAACAGACACATGTACATGAACGCTCACAGCAGCACTATTCACGACAGCCAAAAGGTAGAAATAACCTAAATATCCATGAACAGGTGAGTGAACAAACAAAATGTGTCACAGACACACAAAGGAATATTACTCCACCATAAAAAGGAATGCAGTTCTAATATATTCTACAACATGGATGAACCGTGAAAACACTGTGCTGAGTGAAATAAGCCAGACACAAGAGGAAATATGCTGTCCACTTATACAGAATAGGCAAATCATAGGGACAGAACATAAATTAGAGGTTACCAGAAGCTGGGGTGAGGCAGAACGAGGAGGTACTGCTTAATGAGGACAGTGGTTCTGTTTGGGACAAAAAAGTTTTAGAAATAGGTAGTGGTCATGGTTGTACAACACTGTGAAAGTACTTAATGACACTGTATTATACACTGAAAAATGCTTAAAGTGTTAAATTATGTGTGTGTGTGTATGTATGTATGTGTGTGTGTGTGTGTGTGTGTGTATATATATATATATATATATATGTGAAAGATTAAGAAACCCACCCAAGACCATATAGCCAGAAAGTGTCCAAGCCAGAATTTGAACCAAAACCTATTGAAAACATACAGGGCTCATGCTCTTTAATCCCTGGACTTCACTGTCTCTGGCAAGGCCAACCAACCAGGCGTTAAGACACCTGGGTGCTTGCTATCTTGTATGATTTTATACAAATCTGATCTTTCAAGGCCTGACTTTCCTTAGATGTTAAATGACCAAACTAGATATCTCCCACAGTCCTTGCTAGTTGTAACCCTCTTGACTCCCATCTGTGCTTTGATCTTGATTTTAAAATGCAGAAAATCCCAAGCCTTGATTCCTGACCCAGGTAGCATTTGTTTCTGGCACACTCTGGGGATATCCATGGACAGAGAGCTCCAGAGAGAGGGACCAGCTGTCCTATCATGGCCCAGCCCCTCCTCCCTCCAGGGTTTGCCATGGAATTGAGCCAGCCCTTGAGAAGGCCTCCACTCCCCATTCTGGAAGAGGGTGCAGGCCTGGCTCTGTTCCAGAATAAACTTCCACAAGGCAAGAGATAGCACAAAGCCAAGGTGAAGAGCGGAGCGGCCCTATAAAAGGCCTCCTTGTGCCCCAGCATGGCTGCAGCTCTTCCACCCCACAGCTGTCCATCCTGCCCACTGACACTCAGCCACCATGTGGGAACTCTTGGCTGTCTTACTGCTCACCCTCGCATACTACTTTTGGCCCAAGATAAGGCACCGTGGTGTCAAGTACCCTAAGAGCCTCCCATTCCTGCCCCTGGTAGGCAGCCTGCCATTCCTCCCTAGACATGGACATCCTCATATCAACTTCTTCAAGCTGCAGAAAAAATACGGCCCCATCTATTCCTTTCGTCTGGGTACCAACACTACCGTGGTCGTGGGCAACCACCAGTTGGCCAAGGAGGTGCTCCTCAAGAAAGGCAAAGAATTCTCTGGGCGGCCCCTTGTGGTAAGCAGTGGCCATCCTTCCTACTCCCTCACCACCCTTTGAGGTTCTTCAGGAAGTCTATGGATGGAATGACTCTTCTAGCTCCAATAACCTGGAATTTTTCAAAGACAGAGGGGCAGGGGGTTGGAGGGGAGCAGCCCTTCAGATCCCATCAATCCCTAAACTGGGCAGGAAAAATTAAAGGAAGTCTCCTTTTCCAGGCTGCTCAGGAGGAGAGGTGGGGTGCAGACAGTGGTCTGAGGGGGCTAAGGCGTCCTCACTCCAGTCAACTGTCCCCTGAACTGGATGATGATCTCTCTAGGCCTGGACTTCCCTAATTAAATAACGTTTATAAAACCCTTGGTCCGGCACAGCAATGTGCCCAATAAATACCCGTTAATGTTACTTCCAGTCTAGGAATTGGGCTTGTGAATACTGTCTTCCCTGGGAAGGTGCTAGGAGAAGGAGCCTGGCTCTTGGAAGGCTGGGGTCCCTGTTGCCCTGCAGGCGTTGCCAGCTGCTCCAGCTATGTTGTTGTTGTTGTTATGTGCCGTCGAGTCGGGGCCGACTCATAGCGACCCCTCCTTGGGTTTCCGAGGCAGTGTCACTACGGAAGTAGGATTGCCCAACCTTCCTTCCGAGGAGTGGCTGGCTCCAGCTATAGGGGGATTGATTTGAAGTAGTGTTTCAATGATGCTGAGTTTCCTACTGAGCTGGCTTCTGGGGAGGGTGTTAATCATCCAGAAACACTGCCAGCACCCTACTGCTGACTGTTCCCCTAAACACCCTGGCAGGCCTTCCACCAGCCTCTAATTTTTACCTGGCAAAGGGTTAACTAATTTTTCTGTGGTCCAGTCAGCCAGGTCTGCTGACCACCAACATCACTCTCACGTCCATTGAACCCTTCTCTCCAAGGCAGAGAGGATGGAGGGGGCTGGTCATATGGCGCATGGGGGTCAATGGATGGAAGAGCAAAGGCTTTGTACCCTAGTGCTTTTTGGGGTGCCTTTGGAAGAAGGGGGCTCAGTTTCCACATATGGCCTTGCAAGTGGACAGGTAAACAAAAAGGAGGTGAGCTGTGCCTTTAGTATCCCCAGGGGCCCAGGGAAAGGCAGGGGTCTGGGCAGTCCTCAATCTCTAAGAGCTGTCCTGCTCTCTGCTCCTAGGACAGGCACAATTCAGAGGGCTTATCTCATTTACAGTGTCCTGGTCAGAAACTGATGGAAAAAAAGAGAGAGACCCAGGGGTCACACTAACAGTGAACCCCAGTACTTCTGCACTCCAATTCAGCTTCTTTCTTTCCTTCTCCTCTCTATACTGTCTCTCTGATAGAATTGGGAGTTGGGGAGTCAGGCCCTGCCCTACCAAGACCCTTCAGTGATAGTGGAAAAAGACTGGGGATGGCCTCATGTGGGGGTCAGCACGGCAGGTACCTGCCTTTTCTCTCAGGAAGAAGGATTACAGGTGGCCCGGGACAAAGGTAGGGTAAGTCACACCTGATTCTGATTCATACTTCCTCGCCTTCTCTGCAAAGACGACTCTGGCTATCCTGTCAGACAACCAAAAGGGTGTCGCCTTCGCTGACAACGGTCCCCACTGGCAGCTGCATCGGAAGCTAGTGCAGGCTGCCTTTGCCCTGTTCAAGGACGGCCACCAGAAGCTAGAGAAGATCAGTGAGTACCTGGCCAGCCCCCAGGGCTGGGCCTGAATCCCACAGGGGCTGCTATGTCTCTGGCGGGTGGGAGAAAGATGAATTTGGGAAAAGGTGGTTAGGGATGGTTTGGGCTAGGCTTTTCTTGGCTACTACTGCCATCTAGTGGCCAACTGGTATCTATTCCCTGCCCTCACTAAGAAGCCTTTCTCTCCCCTCAGTACTTGAGGAAATCAGCGCACTCTGTGATTTCCTGGTCACCCATAATGAACAGTCCATAGATTTGGAACTGCCTCTCTTCCTGGCGGTGACCAACATGATCTCCATGTTCTGCTTCAACTCCTCCTACAAGTATGATGACCCTGACCTGAAGATCATACATGATTACAACAAAGGCATCCTGGATAATCTGGGCAGTGGGGGTCTGGTGGACATCTTCCCCTGGTTGAAGGTGAGGAGGAGGCCAGGCCGGCCTCCAGATCCCAGCACACCCTGACAGTGTCTCAAATTCCTTCTTTGTACCGCTCACCTTCAGATCCATTTTTTTTCCTGACCACTGCAGCCTCCTCTGACCTCTTAAAACCTTTACTATTTCTCTACCTAAGTAGATTTAGCTTTTCAATCATACCTTTTAATATTCAAAATAATGCATCTCATTTAGCAATGACCACGTGGCACTGTTAAGGACTCTACATGCGTTAATCATTGACTTCCCCTGCAAGTTGGTTTTAGTATCCCCATTGCACAAATGAGAAAACAGGCTCAGTGATTCTGAGGAATGTGCGGAGCAGTTTACTGAGAGGACCCTCAATCAGTGCTTGATGTTTGACTGAATGGGGAAAGGGAAGTGGGGACCACTCCCTCCCCCTTTGTTTGGAATTGTCCTGTTGGGCATTGATGATTCCATTCTGGGTCCCCATTTTGCCTTCCATCTTGGCTGAAGGTCATTGAAGGTCAGGATTGGAATGTGAGCTTTCCAGAGACAGAAAGCTAGGCTGTGTCTCCAGGAGCGATTCTGGTAGTTGGAGAAGCAAACGGGCAGAGGGATGGACTGAACGTTTCTTTCCACTCCCCAGATTTTCCCCAACAAACCACTAGAAGTTATGAAGAATGCTGTTAAATTACGGAATGAACTGCTGAACAGAATCCTAGAAAAATACAAGGTAGGTGAAAGGGCAGAAGGGAGGGTGAGTTAGATTGAAAGTATCACGAGAGCAGGGTTGGGGGCCCATTTTGGCTAACTGTAGGACCTCCAGTATCTAACAGAGAACCTGGCACATAAAATGTGCTCAGTAAAAATCGAATGAATGAATGAGAATGGGGAAGTGAAGAGGATCCTACAAGGACCTACCTACTTCCCAAACTTAAAGAGGCCCAGTGCTGCCTCCTACCTCCACAAACTCATAGGCATCACCCAACACCACCTACTCCCTCAATGCTAAGGTCAGAGAGGTCTTTGTAAGTCCCGCCTGAGATGGAAGCATAGTGAGAGTGTTGCAGATAAGACCCCTTCCTTATCACTGTCTCCCATTCTCACCTAACCTAGGAGAAATTCAACAGTGACTCTATCACCAACCTACTGGACATACTGATTCAAGCCAAGATGAACTCAGAAAATAACAATGAAGGCTCAGCCCAGGACTCAAAGCTGCTTTCAGATGAACACATTCTTACCACTGTTGGGGACATCTTTGGGGCCGGTGTGGAGACCACCACCTCTGTGATGAAGTGGATTGTGGCCTTCCTACTGCACAATCCTCAGGTGGGCTTCTTCCCATTCCTGTCTTCCCATCCATCCTTGACCCTAGCCAGCCCCGCCTCTGGGTTCCAGAGAGAGGGAACGGCAATACCCAACATCTCAGGCTTTCTATGCAGGAGCACTGGGCTGCCCCGGCACACACCCAGGCAGTGGCTGACTCTGGCCCCATGGTGGAGCTGCCTCACTTCTGAAAGCAGGGCCTGGGCTGTAGAGTCACCACTGGGAGGAGTCTGGGGCAGGCGCTTCTGGATGTGACAGCAGGGTTCTTCCCGGCCTTGACCACACTGCTCACATCCACCCTGCTCTGGCCCTCAGCTGAAGAAGAAGATCCAGGAGGAAATTGACCAGAACGTAGGTTTTAGTCGCACACCAGCTATCAGCGACCGGAATCACCTCGTCCTGCTGGAGGCCACCATCCGAGAGGTTCTTCGCATCCGACCTGTAGCCCCGCTGCTCATCCCCCACAAGGCTTCTACTGACTCCAGGTACACCTTCCCTCCCAATGACCTTCAGACCCAATACTGCTTCCTAGTCCACCAGCTCCCAGCCTGCTAGTCAACAAACCTGTAGGCAACCACTGCCTACTACCAATCACCCCACCCATTACCCTCCTAATCAACATACCCACCACCCACCGTCTACTCCACGGCTCCACCTGATCTCCCTAGAGGCTGCCTGCAGCCCTGGAGCTGTGCTCTGGGATTAAAGTCTGGGCCGTTCTGTGCTTTCCCAGGCCAGTAGCTGTAGGACATCCATGTACGCACCAGCTCGAAAGGCCCTGACATGAATGGCCACGTACCCATATGTTAATACACAAGTACATTTGTCAGGAGGATAGGGCTGGAGAAGGGCTGGGTTCATGCACCTGGCGGAGGCTGAGGAAAAGATGGAGGAGTGAAGATGATGGAAATAAAGGGCTCTTTTCCCTCAGGGGTGGGGCCTTGAGCAGGAAGGAGGACAATGTTACAGCTCCCCTTTCCTCTCCCTTTCTGGGGCAGCATTGGTGAGTTTGCCGTTGACAAAGGCACTCACATTATCGTCAATTTGTGGGCCCTGCATCACAATGAGCAGGAATGGCAGCAGCCCGACCGGTTCATGCCTGGTGAGTCCCTGCCCTGCCCTGCCCCTGCCCACAGCCTGGAGCGTGTTCTCCACCACCCCAGCACCCCTCCCCCTCTGCCCAGCTGGCTACTAGAAAACCTTTGGCTCTACCACACAGACCTGTAGACCTCAACCCACCTCAGACTTAAACTCTCCACAACTAGGTTCACTATTCCCTCCCTACCCACCAGCCACTCCTCGGAAGGAAGGTTGGGCAATCCTACTTCCGTAGTGATACTGCCTCGGAAACCCAAGGAGGGTTCGCTATGAGTCGGGTTTGACTCGACGGCACATAACAACAACAACAACCAACTGAAAATTTCCTTTTCCAGCAAACTCTAGGCATATGTCTCCCTATTAAGTCCCTGCTCTCAACCCTTGGATAGTGGCATTTTCACCTGTTAACATTACCTCCTTTCCATCCTTCCAAAATCTTTCACTTCCTCCGTGTGATTATGGGCTACTTGCCGGGTAGGGCCATGTCTTCCCCTTGGTCAGGGCAGAGGCACACCTGTCCTTATTCCTGCCCTGGACCCTGGCTGATGCCTCCTCATGCCCACAGAGCGTTTCTTGGACCCAACGGGGAGCCAGCTCATCTCACCAACGTTGAGCTACTTGCCCTTCGGAGCAGGACCCCGCTCCTGTGTAGGTGAGCTCCTGGCCCGCCAGGAGCTCTTCCTCTTCCTGTCCTGGGTGCTGCAGAGGTTCGACCTGGAGGTGCCGGATGGTGGACAGCTGCCCTCTCTGCAGGGCAATCCCAAAGTGGTCTTTCTGATCGACTCCTTCAAAGTGAAGATCAAGGTGCGCCAGGCCTGGAGGGAAGCCCAGGCTGAGGGTGTTGCCTAGAGGCTGTGCCAAGTGCCCCATGACTCCATCCACCCCAGCCAGGAACTCTCTGCTGGCCTGCGGCTTAGAATTAGAGTTGCTAACCCCTCTCCCACTCCCATCATCCCTCCCTCCTCCTAGCCCACCCTGCTTTCTTTTCCAGCCTATAACACTGGCAGTGACAGGCATAATGAAAGTCTTTTTTCAGACACTCCCTGAGTTGTTTATTTATTTGTTCATTCATTCTTTCAACAAATATTTTATTGAGCACCTACAGTGCTATCCACTGTTTCAGGACACTCAAGTTCCCTAGTCTCATGAAGCTTACATTCTAGCTAGAGCTGACAAATGAATATGAATTTCAGAGACTGATAAGTGTGTTGAAGTCCATTGTATTGGGTGATGGGGTAAGACAATGGCCAAGGTTGGGGCCACTTTAGACAGGTGGCCAGGGAAGATGTGAAGACCAGGGGGAAGCTCCATTCCTGAGGAAATAGCAAGTGAGAATGTCTCAAGGTGGGAGAGGGCAGCATGGCTAGTGCAGAGCCAATGAAGGGGAGAATGGTCTCCACTGAGGTCAGAGAGGAAGGCGGGGCTCAGGTCCCATGAGGCTTTTCGAAGCAGCAGGAAGGAGTTTGAGTTTTCATTCCAAGTATGACAGGAAGCCACTGGAGAGTTTTAAACAAGTGGAATGGTCGGATTTCAACTTTTAACTGGTCACATTGGTTGATGCGTAGACAATGGTCTGTAGAGGAATGAGTGAAGGAGCAGGGAGAATAGGCAGAAGGCTCTTATGCTGGCTCAGGCAAGAGATGATGGTGGCTTAGACCATGACGACAGCAGTGGAGGTGGTGAGAAGTAGGCTTGCGTTTGTATTTTGAAAGGGAGCAGATGTTGTCTGTTTGACACAAACATGCATTACTGCACGTACGTCAAAGGTTCAGCTTTGGGGGGAGTGTGTACAGCCCACAAACCCGACCCACCACTGCCCGTCCTTCTTTCTTGGTCCTACAAAGACCAGCACGTCTCCTTTTCTCTCATCCCTCCCTGGCGTAAACACTGCCTGGCAAGAGGGCTCCTACAGCTGCGTTCTGCTGAAGCACCTGGGCTCTGCCCCTTCTCCCCACTTAAAACCCCAGGGTAAATGCCTCAGTGGGAAAGGGAGGCCAGGCTCCTCTAAGCCAACATCTTTAAACCTTGGCCATTGGCCAGTCTGCAAGTGAAGGATGTCCTGAGATGCCCCGGAACAAACTGACCCTTGCCCTTTAGCCTTGTGAGAGACTCAATCCTAGCTCCCTGGCGCCAAGAAGACCAGGGGCAGATCCTCAACAGCCCAATCTTCCCCTCTGACTGAGGGAGCACTCTGACTGAGGAGGACAAAGTTGGCCAACTTTTCAGAGAGGGGAAAGCAGGGCAGCCCCTGCAAGGAGGGAGGGATAAGGTTTTCAGTGACAGCTGTACCTTCTTCTTCCTTTGCTAATCCAGTCATGGTGGGCCAGTCCCTACTGTACCCCCAACCCAGTCCTGGCTTTTCACTGACCAGAGGCCCTGGGAAATTGCCCAAGGGCCCATCTTGTTGTTGTTGTTATGTGCCATCCAGTCAGACCAGACTCATAGCGACCCCTCCTTGGATTTCTGAGGTGGTATCACTACGGAAGTAGATTGCCCAACCTTCCCTCCAAGGAGTGGCTGATGGGTTTGAACCACCAGCCTTCTGGTTAAGAGTCATATGCCTTAGGCACTACGCCACCAGAGCTTCCCCAAGGGCACACAGGAGAGTTTACCGGCAGCTGTGGCTGACTGCAGCCTCGTCACCTACAGCCTGGGAGAGGTGCCAACACCACAGTAAGCTGATAGAAAAGCGGTTAACTGGAGGTTACTCCTTTCCCTCTCCCAGGAACCTCTGTCCCCATCAGCCTACTGCTGGACTAGTCTGGCTACCCTCAGCTCAAAACAGAGGGGAGCCAGATTTGTGAAAGAAGAGAGTAAAGTATTTCAGATTTGCTCAGGATTTGAAAGGTATTTTGCAGACTAATGATGAACAGATAAACAATTAGTAGGAGGGCTGTGTTTTCCACATAAGCCATTGGCAAGTTTAACTGGGATGAAAACATCCACCCTCCAACTACAGAAGCTGAACACTGACTCCAGGATGATTGGACCGTCTTCATTTTGAACATGAGGAACGTAAGGGCCAGGGGAGGGAGGAGGCGTGACTTGCTCCAAGTCACACAGCTACTTACCCAAGATTCCACTGGTGCTGTGTGAGGGGTCAGCTTTTTTCACCTGTCCTCTGTGACCATGCAGAAGGCTCCCAAGCAGGGGAGAGAACACAGCCTAGTGTTCTTCCAGGAAATAACCTCCCGATCTCTGACTCCCGCCTGAACTCTGCTCTGGCTGGCCTGGAAGCCCCCTCCCCTACCTAAATCCTCCCATCCTTAAGCTCAGAGTGAAGGCCCTTCTCTAGGACATATCTCCTGATTCCCAGCCATCAGGATTGTCCTCACTTAGCACTTGGTTTCTGTTCCTTGGTACTGAATCCCCCATGTACATGCAGATATCTGCCTAGGCTTGAAAAGGGTTTGATTTCTCTCAGGGACACTGTCCACCCCTCTGTCTCTCTCTGGAGTTCAAGGCTGGGTCTTGCCTCAGACTACCCTTATGCAGCGGTGTAATGACAAATATTTAATGACCACCACTCTGGCAGGGGTGGGGAGTGGGGTCGCCAATCACAAACCCCCAAACCCTCTGTCGATTCAATTCTGTCTCCTAAGGACCCCATAGGAACTCTGGTAGCATAGTGCCTAAGGCACTTGACTGCTAACCAGAAGGCTGGTGGTTCAAACCCCCCAGCCACTCCTACTTCCTCCTACTTGGGCAACCTACTTCCGTAGTGATACTGCCTCGGAAACCCAAGGAGGGGTCGCTATGAGTTGGGTCTGACTCGACAGCACATAACAACAACAACAACAAGGACCCTATACTAAAAACTCAAACAAAGTCACTGCTGTGAGTCGGTTCCGACTCATAGCAACCCCTCCTTGGGTTTCCAAGGTGGTGTATCCACACCATGTTGTTGTTGTTGTTATTTGCCATCGAGTCGGCCCCGACTCATAGCGACCCCTCCTTGGGTTTCCGAGGCAGTATCACTACGGAAGTAGGATTGCCCAAACTTCCTTCCGAGGAGTGGCTGGTGGGTTTGAACTGCCAGCCTTCTGGTTAGCAGTCAAATGCCTTAGCCACTATGCTAGCAGAGCTCCCTAGGAGTCATAAAAGGCAGTGGGTCCCAGCTCTGGGTGCAGAACCAAACTTACTAGTGTAATTCACAGTGGCAAGTCACTTGGCCTTCTTACACCTCAGTTTTCTCATCTTTAATATGGGGGACTGTATGAAGTATGTGCAATAACAGTAGCAGCTACCTCAATTTAATGATTAAATATTAAGCTATGCAGTATGTTTAAAAAAAAAAAAAAACTGCCATTGAGCCGATTCTGACTCATAGCTACCCCATTGGGTTTCCAAGGTGGCAAATTTTTATGGAAGCAGATTGCCCCATCTTCCCAAAAAGCAGCTGGTGGGTTTGAACCAACAACCTTCTGGGTGGCAGTCAAATCCCTTAGACATTGTGCCACCAGAGCTCCTTATGCAATATGTTTAGTGCCTCAATAAACACTGACTTTATTATCATTGCCTACATCCAAATCCAAGCACTGGTGGCACAGTGCCTAAGAACCCGGCTGCTAATCAGGTTGGCGGTTCAAACCCACCAGCCACTCCACAGGAAAATGATGTGCCAGTGTGTCCCTGTAAGGATTACAGCCTTGGAAACCCTCTGGGGCAGTTCTACTGTCCTATATTATTGTTGTTATGTGCCGTCAAGTCGGCCCCAACTCATAGCGACCCCTCCTTGGGTTTCTGAGGCGGTATCACTACAGAAGTAGGATTGCCCAACCTTCCTTCCGAGGAGTGGCTGGTGGGTTTGAACCGCCAGCTTTCTGGTTAGCAGTCAAGCGCCTTAGGCACTATGCTACCAGAGCTCCTACTCTGTCCTATAGGGCCATTGAATCTGAATTGACTCGACAGCAACAGGTTATATTCAAATCCAAAGTCAGTTCTTCCTAAAGGGTTTTACACAAAACTCCCAAAGGCAACCAGCTTGGTTATTAGGAAGGGAAGTGGCATGTACAGAAAGGTCCACCTTCCAAGACGGGACCTGCAGAAAACCACCCTCAAAGCTCAAAGGCCCTGCAGGACCACCGCAGCTCCTGGCTTGCTGCCGCACTCCGTCCCTCCCCAGCCAAGGCAGGCTAACAGCTGGGAAGTGGGTGGAGATCCCAAATACAAACTCTTTCCATGGCTCCAACACAGAGAGTGTTTTGTAACATTTTCCAGTGGGATTGGGTTTCTTAAGACATCTTCGTGGTGAGAAAACATGAAATGGGAAGATGATTAAACCATGGTGAGGAGCACACTTACGCAGAATGGGGCGAAATTTGATGTTAAAAAAATCCTCTTCTCCCCGTCACAAGCCAGGCAAAGCTCTACCTTCATCTCCTCTGAGCCAGCCCAAAACATTCTTTCAAGGAAAAGACCCAAAGATACAAATAGCTTTATTTGAAAATTTTGTAATTTTTCAATGTTTCCAAGGGGTCCTGCCCTTTCTGTCAGAAGTAATCAGCCTGATCTGAAGACTTGTTGAAGTCTCACCCCAAACCTAAGGCCGTTATCAGCAATGTAGGGCCTTTTGTGGGTGAAGTTTGGCTGGGCATGGGGGCCTCTGGGGAGCTTATGACATAGCCAGTGGGGGGGAAGGGGTTAAAGCCCTTGAGGAAATGGCCTCTGGCTCACCTTTACAACTTTTACAACACTCCCTGCTCTCCTTTCCCCTGTTTCCTATTACCTTTGAAAGAAATTTCCTCACATGGCTTGTGAGCGTCAACATTACATCTCTTCACAGTATGGCCTACTACTTAAGTGCTTGGGCTTTAGCATCAACTGATCAGGGTTCAAATCCTGACTCT